TATACATTGCAAAAAAAAGTATATATTATATATATGTGTACATACATAGCAGGGAAGAAAGGACCCCTGAGTCGCGCGTGCGGCCTAGCATCCTAAGTCTTGCGTGCGGCCTAACAATTCTGCTTCGAAACACACCGGAGAGCGCACACGCGACGCATTTGGAGCACACACTCGAAACAAATAGGGGCGCACACTCGATGCCTCCCCCAAACCCTAAGCCTGAAACTTTTAACTTCAAGCCCAAACCCCGAAACAAACCCAAACGCTAAACAACCCAAGCCATGAAACCTAAACGAACCTGAAACCTAAACAACCTCGAACCATAAAACCTTTAACAACCCCAAACCATAAACCTTAAACAACCCCAAACCCCAAACCCCAAACCCTAACTATTAAACAACCCCAAACCTCAAACATAGTAATTAACATTAGTCTCAAAACCACCAGGCCGTACTCAAACCCTAAACAAACCCACACCCTGACCCCGAAACAAGCCCAAACCCTAAACAAACCAAACCCTAAAACCTTAAACAACCCCAAACCGTAACCCTTAAACAGTCCCAAACCCTACAACCCTAAACAACCCCAAACCCTAAAACGTAAACAACCCCGAACCCTTACCCGTCAACAACCCCTACCCAAATCCTGAACAACCTCAAGCCCTAACCCCGAAACAAACCCAAACCCTAAACAACCCCAAGCCATAAACCCCAAACGAACCTAAACCCTAAACAACCACCAACCCTAAAACCCTAAACAACCCCAAACCCTAAACAACCCCAAACCACAACCCTTCAGAAACCCTAACCTCAAACATTCATCTCAAAACCACTAAGCCCTATCCACACCCTAAACAACCCAAAGCGCTAACCCCGAAACAAGCCCAGACCCTAAACAACCCCAAGCCCTAAACCCGAGAAAGAACCAAACCTTGAAACAACCCAAACCCATCAAGCCCAAACGAACCTGAACCCTAAATAATCCCAAGCTCTAAAACCCTACCCAAGCCCGGAACGCCTAAACAACCCCAAGCCCGTTGATGTAAACAACCCCAAACCATGACCCTTAAACAACCCAAACCTCAAAACATTAATCTCAAAACATCCAAGCCTTACACTTACACGAGCCCTAAACAACCCCAATCCCTAAACCCCGAAGAAACCTAAACCCTAAACGACCACAAGCCACAAACCCGAATCAACACTAAATCCAAAACAACCGGGACGAAACAGCCCCAAAACCAAGAGCCGAACCCAACAGCCTCAACAACCCAAAACCCTGAAACATAAATAACCAATAACCCCAATCTCGAAGCAACCCCAAACCCTGATCCCTAAAAAAGAACTAAACCTTGAACATCCCCAACCAAAACCAAAAGCCTTGAGCAGCCCCAAACCCTAAAACGTCAGCACCCAAACCCGTCACCTCAAACCAACCCAGAAATCGAGCATTCAACTCCAAACCAGCAAGCCCTGCCCAAAGCCTGAACATCCCCGAGCAATGAACCCCAATCAAACCTAAACTTTAAACTAAACCCTGGGCAACCCCAAACCCTAAACCCTCAACAACCCCGACCCAAAACCTCAACCGACCCTAACGCCAAGCCGAACTCAAGCCTTGCTGGCCGCCTTTGCCAGCATCATCAACATCATCAGCATCATTGTTGCCTGTTTATCCGTTTTGTCTGCAACCCAAGCCTGTTTGCTGTCACCAAAGTTTTCTCACATCAGCTCTTTGTGAAATGATATTGCTGCGTTTTTTTTTCGAGGCCACAACCATCCTCCCTCCATTTGAGCATGTCGGAAGGTTTGGGAGTGGAATTTGTGCACTTCTTGCACCACCCGGCTTCCAGCACCTTCAGTTGCGTCCGACTTGGCTTCTCTCACCTCTGTGCTGCTGCTCCTGGGTCCTGGGGACTCCATCAAGCACAGGTCCTGTTCAGTGCTGCGATGAGAAAACCTTCATCAATCCAGGGCGTATGAAACGCGCCAATCAGTGCAGACATGCTTGCCTGACGTTTATTCGCATTTGATGTGACTGGGTGTCCTTGATTGGGAATCGGAGCGTGGATGATTCAGGACATGGTGATGGGAACATTCTCTCGCAATGCGACGCAATGCGGATGAATAAGCTTCGGGACTCCACTATGCCCAAGACGGGCCCCTGGGGCTCGCTTTCACGGTCCATGCTCCTGATGCTTTTTTGGGAGGTGTTGGCGAACCCCAATATAGTTTAGCTCCGTGGAGGCATCTTAGCACATGTTGATATCATGTTGATTTCAGGCTGCTTTCGGGACGGGGACTGTGGTCCTGTTGGAGAAAAAAGGTTAAGCAACGACGACGACAAATACTATGACGATGACTACGACTTCGACGTGGACGAAGACGACAACGATGACGACGACTTCTACTATGGCGACCACATTGGATGACTCACCTTTCTGTGCATGTTATTGCCCTCTGGCTTTTAGAGCCAACTTTCCTGGTATGTAAAGCCCATGCTTGTTCCAGTGGAAGTTAGCGGGACCGGGTCAGGTTGGCCAGGTCAGGGGTTCTGGGTCCGTCAGGGTAGTATCTGGCATGTGGCAGGTGCAGTGTTAAGGGCCAACGGGGCAATAGGTCTCCAAGCCTCCGCGCAGCTTCAGACAAATCTGGACGACATGTTGACTGGTGGTGAGATGATTAGAGACTGGGCGGACCGCAAACCGTCACCCGTCACCTTCCAAAGGTCATTCTGACAACTCACTTCAGCCCCTGGTCCTGTACTTGAACAATGCAGCCAAACTGCATCTGGAAGCATGTCATCGTCATCATCATCTGGAATGACCCACATTGGCGAACTCATCAGCACCAGCACCTTCAGTATAGGAAGTAAAGCAGCAAGACTCAAGCCGAAGGACAACCCACCAGCCTGGCCAATGTTCTCTCACTTGGGTTATGATCATGGAGCCAGCAAATCCTTTGTGACCCCTCATCTTAGTTTTGATCCGAACCCGATGGAACAACACCTTGCTTGAGCGTGTTGAACGTGTAAGAGAAAGTAAGCTGTGACTATCATATAGCTCACGGATCAATGTCGCGGTCTGGAATGCGGAACTGATACCACATGAGCGTGGCAAGGATCAAAATTCATACTTCGCGGGCCAACAAAGAAAATTGATTCAGAGGATTTGGGACCAAACCCATAATCCAGATACCAAATATGCAGATGAGCTCTCCTTTCTGATGCTACAAGCCCTGTGCACTCCACAAGCTCCCGCCAGGCGGCATCATCTTCAGGAAGCCTGAGCATTGCATGAGCATGCTTAGTTTACATAGACCACGCTCTAGCAACCTGCATGAAGTCTGCGCCAATGTGGAAAGACGCAGCACAAATTGTTTTTTGCTGCCCAAGAGACATCTCCGTGTCGCTGTCCAGACACTGCGATGGTGTTCGCAGCTCTGGAGGCGTCAATGGAGAGGCAGTCGTCGACGCATCCTCCATGGACAGCACAGGTAAGACAACAAATGTGAAAAGACCTGGGTGGAAGGTCTTTCCGCTTCGTGCTCATAATCAGCTGCTACTACTGAGGTGGCATCACCCCCAACCCGTCTCCTCATCACTTGCCAGTAGGTTTTGTCATGTCCTACTTTTACATCATGGTGCAAGACTGCCGGACAAAACCCCTGGGCACGGGGGTGCAGGTTGGGCCGATGGCCTGATCGATGTCTGCGCCTTGGCCTGACGGTCGCAAGGCAAATCAAATAGATCTCTAAGAAGCCAAGTCACAACATGCACTTCCTTGATGAATTCTGCCTCCGCACTGGACCGTGTCAGGCTCCAGATCAATGACCATCCGTTTCACCATGGTGTGAACTGTTGCACGGGAACCACTCCCTAACCTACTTCCAGCCAAAAAATGCTTCAGAGGTAAGCTGCAAAATGGTTACAGACTACCAGCAGTATGTCAGTGCTGCATGCACGTATTCGGCCATTTTCATCAATTAAACAATCTTGAGGCAACAGTTGCCACCTCAGGCTTGAGGGAGCAAGCCACTCTGGAATTTTGAAACATGAAACCTTGGCCAGTTCTTGGCGCTGAGAACTGGCTCTTGCCCCGGGCCATCGCCCCTCACATCTCTTCCCGAAGTGTCTGCGACGACTCCAGGCCCGCAATGTAGTAGGTCCCAATCTGGATCATTAAGCGCTGCCTCACTTGTCAACTATCACAACTATGGATGCGCATAGGATGTTAAGCAGGTGAGCATTTGGTGCCATCCCAATGGCACGAGGAAGGTGCCCAAGCAAAAGCGCGGAGCGTGGACGCATCCTGTGGCGTTCGGGCCTCAGCTGTCGGGGTTGCCACAGGGCTTTTAATTCTCCTGTAACAGTTTCACATACCTCCTTCCGGTTGCTAGGTAGCTGGACATTTTCGAATGTCACGCAGCTCCGCCACAAAGGTCAGCAGCCGATCTGCGTTCTCTCGACCCGGCATGAAAGCGGATGCCTTCAGTTGCTGACACAGCCAGGCTACGCAAATGATGTCTGTGCCTAAACACTACCTGAATCTCAGAAGAGAGGCAAATTCCTCTGTTTTGCGAGGTCCACCAAAGACAGCGGGATCATGATTGGCGTGAAGGGCTATGGTGGACCCATAGGATCCTCAACGTATTTGCAGCTTTGCTCAAGACCCAGAGCTCAAAAAAAAAAAAAGGTCAAGAAAGCTCTTCCATTGCCATCTGGGCTCCAGCCTCCTCCTTAAGAACATGGCCCGTTCCCAGCGTGTAAGTCCTTTGGAGCGAGAAGGATTCAACAACATGTTTGCGCAGTTGTCCAATGCAGGCTGAGCTCTTCGTTTCTTGTACAATCCAGGGATTGACGCCCGCTCCACCACCTCCATTTGTTCTGATGACCTGCTTTTGCACAACCAGCACCCCCAAAGCCAAATCTTGGGAAAAAGGGCTCTAGGGGCCTCAAACGGGAACCATCCTTTTGCAAAAACCATGATTTGACTCCCCCTCCTCAAGGACGAAGGCGGCAGGATCCTTCTTGAAAAGAGGAATAAAAGTTGCGGGAGATCTCTGCAGCAGCCTGTGAAAAAGCTGCATGCGCAATGTGAATTGCAGACCGTCAGCATCACGGATATGGCTCAGCTTTGCTTCTCAAATGATAACTCATGCTCCGCCTCAAGAGCTTGAAGGTTGCCAGGGCACCTGCCCAAGCACGTCAAATGAGAGAGGACACTTGGGGCATTTGAAGCTGCTCCTCCAGGTCCATCTCCACCGAAACCAGCAAAGGAAAGCTCGAACAGCGTCTTCCGCAGGCGTTCCGGGCCGTTCATGCCTGAACACATGGAAAAAGCTCATGACAAGTCGAGTGCCTCTGCATTTGTAGCACATGCTGCCTCTTTTGACGGCTTCATCCATCAGCCGCTGCCCAACCTTACCGCTGGCCACCTTCTCCTCCAGGACCTTTTCGTCGAGAGCAGAGCAGGCCACAGAACCAGGCGATACCACTGAACAGACCAGCCTTGGCAAGCTCAGCACAATGAGCTCCACCTGCTGTCGAGCCCATACCAAAGATTGTCCTGAAATGAACCTTGTCATACCGTTTCCAAGTACTCCACAACTTCGTTTCAGATCGTATCCCTTCTAAGGCGCCCACACGAAGCCACTCCTTCAGTGTGTGAATCTCTTCCTCATGCCCAGGACAAACAGCTGGCAACACGGGCTTGCCATCACAACTTCATACAACTTCACAACTTGCAAGGTTGCGAAAGCATGCCGGCAAGCAGCCTCAGTAAGGTCAACCTCGAACGCATGCCTCCAGAACTGTTTTTGCATCACGTTTCACAAGGTATAGCCAACACAGTGCCTGAAGAAGTTGAAGGCGAACACGTCCTGCACCTTGTGGGGAACCACGGCCGGGAATGGAAAGATTAGATGCCTCAAATGAGAACAGCACCAAGGATGTTCACATGATTACAAGGCCAGCAGCGCATGGATCTCAGGGCAGCCCAGGCTCCTAGATACATCATGAATCAAATCGGTCACCGCAATGCCGGGTGCGGGCTTGAACTCCTCACAAGTTGCTGCATGCGCACTATCAATAAGATGTTATGAGATAGCTCCAATTTTGAGAGCAAGCATCTGGGATGGTCTCTGGGCTTTCCGCAAGTGCTGGCATGATGGCAGAAAGAAGATCTCCTGAACACATGATTTCTGTTCAGCACATGGTGTGCAACTCTCCTTGTTTTCAGGCCTGCCAGATTCCAACAACAAGCCCTGATTGAATGAAGCAAGGCTCTGTGCGCATAGCGGCTTGGTGAATCCGTGTCCAGCCTTGGTGAAAGCAATCGGCCTACTCATTAGTCTCACATAGCCGATTCTCAACCGAAGGGGCTGAAGCAGTGTCGGCAACACTCCAGGCAGAAAGTAGCCTCAAGTATGTAGCACAGTAGAGCCGGGAGGTTCTTGAATACAGACAAAAAGCCTTCAGGAACTTTCGTGGTGTCCACGGTCACGAACATCTTGCTATCTCGCTTTAGCTTCCTCAATCCAGCCCGAGTCATGAGACATACGTGTCATACAGCCTTTGAGACTTCGGATCTCGGCAGTCAGCAAGGCTGGCAGGCTTTGCTGAATTCCGAAAAATTCAAGCAAGAAGCGGGTTGTAATGCACATCTCTCACGGAGGCGTGGCTGACGCGCGATATCATGTAGCTTGAAATGGGATCTTTAGGATTTGGAACTCAGCTGGCGACAGCATGAAGAGGGTAAAAAAACAACGGGAACTTGGGGAACTTAAGAAGCTGAGCTCGGCACAGAGTCCAAGTCCAGGACTTTTGTGGCCATCAGTGGCATAGATCAGCAATGGATTCCACACAGGACCGACGGCAATTCCGCCTCCTAGAGTGAAGCAACATCTAACGCAACCTGTGAAGCATTACTTTCCTGATGACAAACACGGGCCATGCTGCAAGGTGGGAAAAGCTTGCCAGGTCTCCATAGGTCCAGATGTGTCTTGCTTGTCCCAAGATTTGCAGGAGGATCCGAGCAATCGGTTGAAGCGGGGCGACGTAGGTGTCCACCGCGCGGATATATGCGCCTTGGCCGATAATCCTCTGAAATCAGGTGCCAGATCTGCAACTAAACGCAATATTCAGAAAAAATGCTATGCATCTGTAAGCACGCTCCGCTCCAGGAAGACATAAACAGCCATAGAAGATCAGCAGAAAAGCCAGCAGAACGGCGACCAGGTTGAAGCAGAAACGGCAGCAACCCATGGTTCTAACCCTCAGGCTACGATTCTAGAAGCTGCTGACGTTTATGGAACACTCATGGCTTCCACAAGTCTAGAGCAGATCACAAGCGCTGGATGGTAGGGACCAATTTGACTGAGCAGGAGAAGCTGGCCTTCTAAACTCTTCAGTCCGCTCTGTTTGTATTTGGGGACGGCTGTTGGCTCATGCGACGCATCTTCGTCTGTTTGATAGCACCGAGCAAGCCGCGTCAAATCTGGAGCTGCACTACAAAGAGTGTTTATGACTTGCCACTTCGCCTCGCCACAATCTAAGCAAAGCTGAACTTTTCGAAACAGGTCGCTGCTGCGCATCGGCAGGAGACATGGCCCTTTCATGGGGATTCGAGTCAGCTGCCCAATTCGTGAGCTGTGTGAGAAGATATCTCAGCAAGCATGGCTGGAATGCTCACGCACTTGACAGGAGCCGGACCAGCTTTCCAGTCAGCCTCTGCTTCGGCTTCTACTTCTGCTCCCAGAGTTGCCTTGAGACTGCACTTGATCGCCTTGATTTGCCACTGCCATGGCCGGCATCATCATTGGAAGCATCGGCACAACTCCAGGCATCATTGGCATAACACCAGGCATCATGGCGGGTGGCATCATCATGGGAGGCATCATCATCCCAGGCATCATAGGCATCATTCCTGGCATCATCATGCCAGTCGCTGCCTCGTCCGCTTCAGGGTCTGCCTGGGCGGCTCCGTCTTCTTGCGCAACTTCTACTTGTGGCGTAGTTTCTCGCTTCTCCGCGAAGCGGCACTCCTGGCAAATGCTCTTGAACATGCTGGAAGTTGCCAACTAAACGAGATAAAGGCACACCACGTGCAAAACTAAGCTTGGGCGTACTTGAAGGCTTAAACCAAAACTGAACGACTTCCAACAAGTCCTCAATGAAGGAGTCAGTCAAGCGTTTCAGTTTGTCGATGGCTAGAATCTTTCCGTCTGAGTTGAGGGTCAGACAATCTTTGAGTTCCACATAAGACTCTTTATCCTCGCTGCCCACCCTCTTGTCGACGATCTTCCCCTCATACTCAATGAACGTCTCATGTCCCAGCTTGTACTTGATGATGACGTAACTTCCAAGCCTCAGATGGCAGCATGCACCAAAACCCTTCGTAATACATACAAGACATGCCGCATGATGCAACCACGCAGCTTGAAGCCCTTGGTCACAAATCGTTTCTTGCCCCTACCAGCTGGCCCGAACGTTTTGGTGTAGCCCTGGTGGCCACCCAATGGACCGGACATCGCAGGAAATCAAAACGTGATGTTTTGGCTTAGTTGTCCTGGGGCTGGCCTAAAACAAGACTTCAACGCTGGCTTCTGTTACTTACTCGCCATGTACAAGACATTTTAACCTAGCAGTGTAATCAATAGAACGGATTGCAATCTGCATAAGTCACCTGGGCGTGGTTTTGAAGGAACACAACTGATGAACTGGCAAGGAACAGATGTGATTCCACACACTTGCTGGGAATTGCATGTGGCTGTCAGTTTGTGCTAAACTCTTTGAGCCAGGAAATTTTTGGGAGGATCAGGGTCCAAGGGGGAAAAACAGGCAATCAATGTCAAATCATGACACCATGGTGGCCCATCCTCACAAGTCATGCACGCAGCGTTGGGGTGGGGCTGAAAAGCTATTTGAATTGAAACTACCGCCGGCTTCAAATACTCTATTCATGCAATAATGGCTGTCATGTTTGTGAATCTTCGACACGGTGGAAGCGTTGCTACCTTTGGCAGAAGCTTGTCAAAAAATGTATTGGGGTTCAAGGTGGGCTATGCTCCTCAATGCGAAGCAGGTGAAGGTCACGAATCAGTCATCATGACAATTCCATGATGTCCCGAATTATAGTTGCGCCGCTGCAAAGGCACCAACAAACAAAAGCATCAGATGCTTTCTCGTGCAAAAAACTCCAAAATCTGCGAGCATGCCTGCGAGCCTCGAAACAGCAAAGTGCAGGAACCTTGTTTCCCTAGTTCACAAGTGGCAGTTCCGCGGAGCATGCAAGTCCCCGCAAATCCTTCGATTGCATTTGTTTTTGCAGTGGGCCTTTTGCTTCATGGAGGTAACATGCAGGTTGCTGAGCAACGGTGCACCACAAAAATGGCTCAAGGGTCACTTAGCCAACAAAAACGCGGGTCACTGAGCCAATTCGGATCCCGCACTGCTTCGGGTCACTTAGCCAAGAAAAACGAAGGTCACTTAGCCAATTCACGATTCTGGGACAGGTTTGGGGGTTTTGGATTAAGGGCTTACAGTCTAGCAGTTTTGGATTTAGGGTTTAGGGCTGTTGGATTTCGGGCTTAGGGACCAGGGGTTGTGAGTTTAGGGTTTAGCAGTTACGGGTCTTGGATTCGGGTTTTTGGTCCAGGGGTTGTGGATTTAGGGTTTACGGTTTAGGGGTCTCGGATTAAGGTTTAGGGTCCAGGGGTTGTGGATTTAGGGTTTACGGTTTAAGGCTGTTGGATTAGGCTTTACGGCTGTTGGATTTAGGGTTTAAGGGTTTGGAATTTACGGTTTAGAGGTGTTGGATTTAGGGTTTACGGTTTAAGGCTTTTGGATTTAGGCTTTAGGGTTTACGAATTTTGGATTTAGGGTTTAGGGGTTTGGGATTTGGGGTTTAGAGGCTTTGGATATAGGGTTTACGGTTTGGGGATTTTGGATTTAGAGTCTAATGGTTTTGGATTTAGGGTTTGGGGTTTTGGATTTGGGGTTTAGGCTTCAGGGTTTTGAATTTCGGGTTTAAGGTTTAGGTGTTCGGGATTTAGGGTTTAGGGGTTTTGGATTTAGGGTTTGGGGCTTAGGGGTTTTGGATTTAGGGTTTAGGGTCGAAGGGTTTTGGATCTAGGGTTTAGGGCTTAGGGGCTTTGGATTTAGGTTATGGTTTAGGTTTAGAGGTTTTGGATGTAGAGTTTACGGTTTAAGGCTTTGGGATTTGGGTTTTAGGGTTTAGGGGTTTGGGATTTAGGGTTTAGGGGTTTGGGATTTAGGGTTTATAAGGGGTTTGGGATTTGGGGTTTAGAAGCTTTGGATTTAGGGCTTACGGTTTAGGGATTTTGGATTTAGAGTCTAGGGGTTTTGGATTTAGGGTTTGGGGTTTAGGGTTTAGGGTTTAGGGCTTAGGGGTTTTGAATTTCGGTTTTTGGGTTTAGGGGTTCTGGATTTAGCGCTTAGAGTTTAGGGGTTTGGGATTTAGGGCTTAGGGGTTTTGAATTTAGGGTTTAGGGTTTATGGATTTAAATTTAAGGTTTAGGGTTTAGGGGTTTTGGATTTAAATTTAAGGTTTAGGGTTTAGGGGTTTGGGATTTAAGGTTTAGGGGTTTTGGATCTAGGGTTTAGGGTTTAGGGGCTTTGGATGTAGGTTATGGTTTAGGTTTGCAGGTTTTGGATTTAGGGCTGAGGGGTTTTGGATGTAGGGTTTACGGTTCAGGACTTTTGGATTTAGGCTTTAGAGTTTACGGGTTCTGGATTCAGGGTTTAGGGGTTTTGGATTTCGGGCTTAGGGGCCAGGGGTTGTGGATTTAGGCTTCAGCGGTTTAGGGGTCTTGGATTAGGTTTTAGGGTTGAGTGGGTTTGAATTTAAGGTTTACGGTTTAGGGCTTTGGGACTTAGGCTTTAGGGTATACTGGTGTTAGATTTAGGGTTGAAGGGGTTGGGATTTAGGGTTTAAAGGTTTTGGATTTAGTGTTTTTTTTACAACCCTTCAGACTTTTCGTCTGCCCGGCTCGGAAAAGGGTTCACTACCAGCAGCAGCTGACCAAAATGGCTCGAATGCACACAAGACATGTGCACACGAAAGCTGCGCCTGACAAGTACCCTTACATGAAGTTGTCTAGTGAACATTGACACACCCTCCAATGTACAGACCCTCTCAGTCCAGCAGGTTCAAGCCATCTTGCCCTTCCCCTCGATGTCGGCTTGGCGCTTCACACTCTCAGCTTCATCATTGCAAGACCCACTCCCTATGCCGTTGTCATCAGCCCTCACTGCCTTGTTTCCCTCCCTAGGACGCTGATCTTTCCAAACTTCTGCAGGCGGCACTTCAGAGGTCGTGGTAGTGCTGGAACCCTGACTCAATCCACTCACGCTGGTGATACTGAGCTGGATCGCGACTTCCAGCCAGTTTCCACAAGTAGGCTCGGGCGGCACACCATTGATCAGGACCCTTTTGACACAAACCTCCCTGACATGGCCTTGGAGAGGCACCCTTGAACCAACAACCGTCCAGTTGGTGCTGCTAGGGCTCGCATCACCCTTCAAACCTGTGCTATTTTCCATGGCTTGCTTCAGAGCCTCATCATCTTCTCGTTGAGCTTGCTTTGCCCTTTGCAGCCTTCTCGATGCTTGTTCCTGGACCATCCCGTGAATGGTCTCAACTCTTTCACCCTTATTGGTTCCCTGCGACTCTACCTCCACGACATGCTGCGCCCTCAGTAGCACATTGAATCTGCTGATCCACTTGCCAGCAAATTCATCCGCCAGGTCGCCCCTTTGTTCGTCAGATTCTTCTCCTTCACACGCAGCAAGGAAGGCCTGGATCATCATCATAGCTTCCTGATCCGTGGTCTCAGTGAGTTGGCCCACCATTGCCTGCAACTGCCGCAACGTAGGCTCCCGTTCTTTCTCCTCGGCATTTACAATGTTCAAGGTCATCTTGTAGCATGTTCACCCAATTAACCCTTCCCTGCATCAGGTTGATCTCGTCGCCCATTTCCTCATCTTGGGGTTCTCCATGCTGATTGTTATCGTCCTGGCCGCCTTGCATGTTCCATCTCCCCATCCCTTCCATCTTCTCTTTCCCTGCGATACATTTCTTGGATAGCTTGCTGTTCAAGGCTACAGCTCCTCTGCACTTCCCTCGGACCCCTTTCCAAAAAGGACCTCGCCCATTTGGCAGCCCCTTCATCGTGCTCCCGTTGCACCGCTATCACCTTCTCCGCAAATGGGTCCAAGACTTTTTGTAGACCCTGACACATCTGTCTCATGGAGGGGAGTCGGCTCCGCATATTTCTTGTCACAAGCCCTCCGATGGCGAGAAGCATGTCCTTGCTCTTCATAGGGGTAAAGGGTTTACGGTTTAGGGCTTTTGGATTTAGGCTTTAGGGTTTACGGGTTTTGGATTTAGGTTTTTTTTTATCGGACCTTTTCTCTCTGCAGGACGAGTCCACAGGGGAATACCATTAAGGCACGGCCCTCAAGAAAAACAGTCCCCAAGAATGCGACTCCTCAGGTAGTGCAGCCAGAAAAGCCCAGGGGCCCAAGGTACTTTACGCCCTTTCCAAACGCCCAGACGAAGCAGGACAGCCTCCAGGAGAACCTCAAATCTCCCTAGAGGCCTGATCCACCAGGAATGAGGTATTTGAGCCATCCCTGCAAACTGGATTGAACTTTCCCCTCCCCAAAACTACCATCCCTGGCTTCCTCAGTAGTGCTCGCGGTTTCCAAAGTCCCTGCTGCCGCCCCAGCGTCCTCTACATCCATGACTTCGAGCTGCGTGTCCTGTAGCACCTGCTGCAACCCCTCCTCCTCCATATCATGGCCATGTGCCGTCGGCTTGTCCCCTGTCACTCCCGCACTACCACCGCCACCTGCAAGAGCCGTGCAATCAGCCCCAGCCGCTGCTTCATGACCAGGTTCTTCTCCACCACCACGGTCTCGCCCTCGCCTGCCTGCCACTACAGTCTACAGTCCTTGATGGAAAGACCTTCGCCCCGGACGAGTCAGACGAGCCTCCCTCCTCCTCCGACAGATGGCCCACATTGACGTCAGTGTCTCGCAGGTGCTCCTCCCTACATTCCCTCTCGTCCCTTTGCTGCCTTTCCTTTGCTTTTGCATCTTCCAAGTCCATCATGTCTCGGTTCACCTCGAAGATCTCCAGTACAGTTGTCCCCCACCTCTTCCTCACCATCTCCGAGTCAACTTCCCGCTGTACGAACAGTTGAAACCACTGGCGTCCCATAACGGTCTCCAGGATTGCTGCCAGATCCGTCATATCAGGCTCGATTGCTTCGTCCACTCTCTGTCTGGTCACCTTCCGGGCTTCTGCTCTCCGCTGCATTCGTCTTGGACTTAACCGCCTCCTCATCAACGACCTCTGTGGCCTCATCCACCGGGGCTTGGACGATGTGCTCCTGGATCACGAAGCTGACCTGCGGCTTGTCATCGGCGTCCAGCTCTCCACTCAAGCTGGCGACCGCCAACTCATTGCGCTCAGCATCCGTAACTGTCACCCTGACTTTGAACCGTTTCAAGGGCCTCGTTCGCGTGGAGCCCTCCAGTTCAGTCTGCAGCGCCCAGTCATCCCAGGATCTTGCAATGGCCGCTTGGTGGTTGGCCCAGAGCATTTCATCATGCTCAGCTTGCCTCGCGGCCTCCTCCCTGACGTCTGCATCGTGCTTGGCCAGCTCATCCTTCTCAACACCTCCTGGCTCACGTTGGACACGGACGTCCGCTGAGGAGGATGCCTGCTCGGTGCGCGTGTCCTCGATCCTGATGACCCCTGACTGGTCCGGGAGCCTGAAGGAGCCAACCTCTGCCCCCTTCACTGCATCAATCTGGAGCATGTCCACAACCTCCGCCCATCTCGCGTCAGCCCACTGGCGATCCTTATCCACAAGGCAGGTCGGTTCCCCTTGATAGGTCACAAGGAGCGCCCATAGCCTGTCTGCTCTCTCTCGAGACAGAGGTGAGGGCCATCACCCACTCTCCTCTCCAGGCTTCCAATTTCTGATAGAGGTAGTGGATGATGTTCGCACTTTGATCCCTTTCCATGCTTTCACAAAGTGCGCCTGGAGTCTGGCAAGGTAGCTAGCAAAGGCCGTTGTCGGCCCCACCTTGGCCGCCACCTGCATGTGCGAGAGGTGGTCATCCTCTTCACCATGCCCGCTGTTACCTCCGTCCACATCCAACCAGCCCTCCACAAAGTCCGTATCATTAACGTCCAGGGCAATGTCCAGGTCAATGCACTCGTTCCTGTCTTCTTCCCCCTGCATGGCGCAGCTCCCGCCCTCCTGCGCGGGCTCCGGCCACAAATGAGGCGCCATAGTCGGTCTCGCCGCCTCGGACGTGACTTGTAGAAGCACCTCCTCATCCGCAAGCTCTTCTGCCCTAAGCATGGCCCTCATGAGGTCAGCATAGAGGACACCCAGCAGGCGGATCAGGTCGCAATAAGCGTTGACCCTTTGAGCGTGAGTCATGCTTGCCAGGTCTTTCGCCAGCCCAAACACGGTGGAATTGCTAAGCAAATGGCGGTCCTGTCCAGCGAAGTCCTCATGCTCTCCCGTGATGCCAATGGCGTCCGACCACATTCGAACCCCAGGGCCCAATTGTTCCAATGTCGGCACCAGTGAGACGTGCTTCACTCTCGAACGATTGTTCGGTGTCGATGAGCTTGGCGGAGTCATTGGGGGAGCCTTCGCCGTTCTCTGCGAGGATCGGTTCGGTTGTCTCGAACCCGACGCCGGCTCGCTCCTCCTTGTCGCCCAAGGGGGCAACCTTGCCCAGCTGCTTGTCGAGGACCGGTCCTGCGGATGCCATTGCCGCCGAAAGTACCTTCTGGCGTCCTCGTCCCATTCCCATTCCTCTTCACACCCTTCATCTGGTTGATCGTTTCTCTGGTTGCGGTCGGCGGCGTCGTCTTCTGGGGGAGGTAGATCTCTTCCTTTTGTCCCTGCCCTTCTGCATCAGGTTCACCTCAGCGGCCCTCTGGTCATCGTGCTCATAGTTCAGCCTTGAGCCCTCCCTATTCGTCAGGTGCGTTGTTGCCAGGTAGCCAACTTCTTGGTCAGCAGCTCCCAGAAAAGGAAGCGCTTCAACCCTTGTCAAAGTAGCCCTAGCCTCCTCCTGCCCCTTCTGGTCGGTGCACTCATGCTCATAGTCCCGCTCAAGGCCCTCCTTTACCATCATGTGAATGGCCGCCGAGTAGTTGCCATCTGGGTCAGCGGCACTCAGCGGAGGCATCTCTACAGCCTTTTTCGAAGTAGCCCTGTCCGACTCTGGCTCCTTCTTGTTGGGGTCGATATGCTCGAAGTTCGTAGCGGAAGTCATCCTCATCCCTTTCATCAGGCTGTCGTGGTAGTCAATCATGGGGGTGGCGGCAGCCACAGGTAGCGGCAGCCCATCACGGGTCATCAAGCCAGGCCCAGCTCCTTGGGAGAGGGCCGCAAGCCACCAAAGGCCCACCGAAACGAACATGTAGGTTGGGTTCGCGAGGCGCATAGCTCAGCAACACTGCTATCTACAGAAGACTGCAAGCTACTCACCAGTGCTAAGACATGTCAAAGGCACGGACACCAGATCACATGCTGCAGTAGACTGTACTCACATCAATTGCAAATGGCAGACTGCCTGCTTGCAGACCAAGGTATGGCTTCTTGCTGTAACCAGGTCTGACCAAACCCCGCCCACTGTTGCCGATTAAAGGCCGCCACCCTCCACTCCTCAGCCCCAACCGCCCTAGCCACCCGCCGCTCTCCGTTCATGAGGAAAGGAAAGCGTCTTCCATGGCGCTGTCCTTGCGTCAAGAGTTGTTGTTGATTCCACCATCCGAGACTCTGAAAGTGGGACATTTTCGCCGCTGCCGACGGAGAGGGGAGCGACGACCCTCTAACTCTGTGCCCCGTAAACGCCCAGTAAGCAGCAACCGCACAGTCTCCCCACCTCTTTTCCTCGAACCTATGAACCAACGCCCTTGCCAACCTGATCATCCTCGCCTCCCCGTCAACCCAGGTTTCACCCGCCAGCCGTTTCAACCCCATCATCCTCTTGATGCAGCAGTACTGGAAGTGGTTGAGCGCCGACTGCAGAGCCGCCGTGGGGAACAGGATACCCACCACCCAGGCAAAGGTACCTTTCACAACCTTGTTGAGGACCCATATTCTCTTTCTGAGGGGAGCCGAAGAAGTAAGGATGTGCAGGATCCCGCCGAACTTGGACCTAGCCTTGTCCAACAGGGCGTGCAGGATCTTCATCTCCGTGTTGCTCTTCGAGATGGGTATGAAGGCCTCTTCGTCACTCATGGGCGTGATCGTGTCTTCTCCGAGCTTAAGTTCCACCCTTCTCGGCCCTCTGAGGCAAAGCAACTTTGATTTCGTGGGTTGAACATAGAGACCAAATTCCGCGAGCTTGGGTAGGAGTTCACTGACGAAATCCTGCATGCTGCCAATGGTGCTCTTCCAAGTTATAATGTCGTCCATGAATGCGCAGCCATCGCACCCCATGAGTGGGATTTAGGGTTTAGGGGCTTGGGATTTCGGGCTTAGGGACCAGGGGTTGGGATTTAGGGTTTAGCGATTACGGGTCTTGGATTAGGGTTTAGGGTCCAGGGGTTGTGGATGTAGGGTTTACGGTTTAGGGGTCTCGGATTAGGGTTCAGGGTCCAGGGGTTGTGGATTTAGGGTTTACGGTTTGAGGCTGTTGGATTTAGGCTTTACAGCTGTTGGATTTAAGGTTTAAGGGTTTGGAATTTAGGGTTCAGAGGTTTTGGATTTAGGGTTTACGGTTTAAGGCTTTTGGATTTAGGCTTTAGGGTTTACCGGTTTCGGATTTAGGGTTTAAGGGTTTGGGATTTGGGGTTTAGAGGCTTTGGATATAGGGTTTACGGTTTAAGGATTTTGGATTTAGAGTCTAATGATTTTGGATTTAGGGTTTAGGGTTTTGGATTTAGGGTTTAAGGGTTTTGGATTTAGGGCGTAGGGGTTTTGAATTTCGGGTTCAGGGTTTAGGGGTTCTGGATTTAGCGTTTAGAGGTTTTGGATTTAGGGTATAGGGCTTAGGGGTTTTGAATTTAGGGTTTAGGGCTTAGGGATTTCAATTTAGGGTTTAGGGTTTAGGGGTTCTGGATTTAGGGTTTAGGGTTTAGGGGAGCTTTGGATGTAGGTTATGGTTTAGGTTTAAGGTTTTGGATTTAAGGCTTAGGGGTTTTGGATGTAGGGTCTACGGTTCAGGACTTTTGGATTTAGGCTTTAGGGTTTACGGATTTTGGATTTAGGGTTTAAGGTTTTTTTTGTCGGACCTTTTCTCCACCTGCTAGTCCAGGCAAGATGCTCCAGGAGCACAGCCCTACCCCTTGAGGAACTGAGCCCCCAACAGGTAAGCAAAAAATCCCGCAGCAACCCTCAACATACCAGCGTATGCCAGAATGGGCTCTGCCAACGCAACTAGCTGCACGTCCCATCAAGTGATCAAGGGAGCTACGCCACCCTAAACAAGCCCTGACTCAGACTCCAAAAGGCACGAAAGTTCAGCAAGCTCTGCACAAACACCAGTCAGTTCAGGCCCTAGAGCGACCGGGGAAAATGCGCTTGCACGTACATCCTACCTCAAAACAACCAGTGCTTCCGGTCTAATTGGCGCCCTTCAAAGGTTCAGCCGCGCCGCCCTCGCCCTCTGCCATTTCCCACGCATGAGTCCTCTCGANNTGAAGGAGCACCTGGTGCGACATGCTGCCACGCCATCGCCGCCGGAGCCACTAGAGAATGTCGTAGGCGCACCAACCACGTCAACATCCATCTGGGGTCCATAGTTGACATTGGCATTGTCATTCAGGCCAGGTTCCACAGAGCCCGCCATCGCAGAGGCATCCATCATCGACGGGGCGCCGCTTGTTCAGCAACATCTCCAGCAGCAACGGGGAAAGCGAGCTCCCTGTCATTCTCCTCCTTACTAATGCCATCATAGCCGCCGTAGTCGCCCCCAATGGTGGCTGCTGCTGCGGCGGGAGCATCGACGTCGTCCAGCTGCGTGCTCTGCCATTACTGCCACCATGAGCATTTGTTCCGTGGCATTCTTCTCTGCCTCCTCGAGCTCAGTTTTCCGCACAGGGAACTTGGCCAGCAGGCCATAGCCCCATTTGTCACCCACCATGGCACTGGTAGCCACTGTTGGAAGGTTCCTTCCCCCATTTCTTGCCATCTCCTCCTCGTCCAGGATCCGCCTGTTCCGTTGGCTGGTAGCCCCTCTGTCGTAACACTAGATGCCCTGGAAGCCTCGCGCAGCGCCGGCTCTGGGTCGTCATGAGGGAGTATAGCAACCCTGCACGCCACGACTCCCGCCCCGAACTGTCATCGGAAACGTCTCCTCCCTCACGATTCTACCCTCTGCTGTTGCAACTCTCACATGGATTCTGACCCTCTTCCCCGGAGGCTGTTGCCCTGCCTCCATCTCTTCCTGCGTCTCAGCTTCCTCTTGTTCCCTCAGCACAGCTGCCCAACGCTGCTCCCATCTGGCCTGCCTCGGCTGCCACCCTTTCATCTTCCTCGTGGGCAGCGATTTCCTCTTGCTCCTCCTGAGTCAACGCTCTAGTGCTGCCATCCGCCAGGACCGCAACGGGGACAGCCACTCCTTCTTCTGTCATGTCTTGGCTGTCTTCCACATGTACAACGTCGCGTGAGGAGGAGGCGACATCCCTGTCTTTGTCACCATCTTGATTTCTTCTCCTCGGCGAGGCACAAGGCTTCGCCCGATCCAGAAGCAGGGGCCGCAACTTTTCCTACTCAGTCAAACACCATTGGCACTGCTCCTCACGCATGTCTTCGCTTGGGGACAAATGGCCCTCCAGCTGGAATGTGGCCAGCATCGCCTGCACGCGGTCCATGCGCTCGATGACAGACGCAGCGACATGATGCCCCGGGCGTTGCCAGTCCTTGAGCATTGCCGTCATGAAGTCCGCCGCTCTGCCTGCCTGCTGCGGCGGGTACTTTTCCAGCGCAATGAGCAGGCGTTGCATTGCACCCCCGAAGTTGTCGGTCATCTCCCTCTGCATGAGCTGCACCTCATCCGACTCCATCTCCCTCTCGCTCGTGCCCTGTGTTATCAGGTCGCTGGCGATCTTCACCCGGCTTGACGGCGGCTTGGCTTCCTTCTTGACGGACTGGAGCAAGCTTGTAGAATCTCCCGTTGGCGGAAAAGCAATTGCCAGCATTCTCAAGATTTCAGCCATAAAAATTCCCAGGAACCTGACCAGTCCCAAGTACAGTTGCCCTTGTTCTCCTGGCAGAAGGTGGCGGACTCAGGACTCTCTCCACTGCATTTTCCAGGACGACCGGCGCCATAAGCCTCTGCTCTTCCGGGTCTACGGGGTCCATCAGACCAAACAATTCCGCCCACATTCTTGTCGACTCATCAAATGGTGGCAGAGCCGGGGCGTCATCCTCCTCCACCTCCACTGTCTGGTTGCCGAACTCGATGTTGCAGTAACGTTTGCCTGCCGCTCAGAAGTTGGCCTCGGCTGTCCTCACCACGGTGCTCTGGCCCATGAACTCGCGCACGTCGGACGGGCAGCTGGCACGGCGGTGCTGCCGCTCGCTGGCCTCGTGCCTTGGGTCTCCCCCTTTGCATCAGAGTCATTGCCTCCTCATCCTTGCCGCGAGGGTCACCTTCAGGACGCACTCCATGGGTCCCAGAGTCCCGGCCTTCTCCCTGATGCCTGCACGTTCTTGGCTGCCTGCCCTCCCTTCTGTTCAACCCCGTGTAGATCATGTTTTCCATCCCTCTTCACTTCGTACTTGCCAGCTGCCTGGCCGAGCACGGTAAGACCATCTCGGGCATGGTCATCACGAATCACGAGCGAGCCCATCTCTTCCCTCAGAAATCCTTTGCGATCCGTTGCGAGTGACACCCCTCTTGACATCGGCGATGATTGCTGCAGTTGTACCATCACGGTAGCTGTGATCAAGCCCCGGACTGTCCCGAGCATGGTCCTTACGAGCACAACCCCGGTGTCCGTCTCGGCCCAGCATTGGCTTGCCACGTACTTCGGCAGCCGCTGCCAACATGAAAATGTAGACATAGGTCATTCGCAGTGACATGAGCCGCACACTACACATTCATCAGGCTATCCTGCCCACCGCCCGTCCAGGGGATTGATATGACTCTCATCCACTGTGGCAAAAACGAATTCCACAGGGCACGGTTTGCTGCAATCACTTTCCAACTGTCGGCGCCTACTGCTTCGCTGATACATCTGTCGGCTCCAACCCTTGTTCTCTGCGCCACCACTCAAGCCCTCGACACATAGAGAGGATCTCTGCCACAGACGCATGCTCCTTGGTCCCCTCACGCACCCTATGCCCGGTGTAGGTCCAATAGGTTTTCACGCAGTCTTCTCCCATCTTCTTTCTGCAAACCTCGGTATTGCACTTCTTGCCAT